ATAAACAAAAAGGCACAATGATAACAACCTTGACAAACAAAATGGGAAATAAAAGGCAGACTAACAGACAGCTTGTCTATTAGAGTCATCATGAATTTACAAATATCTATACTCAATTCTCAGTGAAACAGACAATAGAAAATAACAGCAAACAAAAAATACACACACAAACAAAGACATAAACATAGAAAGACAGGCAAGCATATCACACTCTTCCTCCCTCATCTTTCTCTCTCTGAATGGACACTGCTTTTAATATTTGAGAACAATATCTTGAGAGGGATTTGACACACTCACTCTCTCTGCCTGCCTGCCTGCCTGCCTGCCTGCCTGCCTGCCTGCCTGCCTGCCTGCCCTGCCCTGCCTGCTGCCTGCCTGCTTGCCTGCCTGCCTGCCTGCCTGCCTGCTGCCTGCCTGCCTGCCTGCCTGCCTGCCTGCCTGCCTGCTGCCTGCCTGCCTGCCTGCCTGCCTGCCTGCCTGCTGCCTGCTGCCTGCCTGCCTTGCCCTGCCTGCCTGCCTGCCTGCCTGCCTGCCTGCCCTGCCTGCCTGCCTGCCCTGCCTGTGCCTGCCTGCTGCCTCCCTGCCTGCCTGCCTGCCTGCCTGCCTGCCTGCCTGCCTGCCTGCCTGCCTGCCTGCCTGCCTGCTGCTTGCCTGCCTGCTTGCCTGCCTGCTGCTGCCTTGCCTGCTTGCCTGCTGCTGCCTGCTGCCTGCCTGCCTGCCTGCCTGCCTGCCTGCCTCCCTGCTTGCCTGCTTGCTTGCCTGCCTGCTTGCCTGTCTGCCTGCCTGCTGCCTGCCTGCTGCCTGCCTGCCTGCCTGCTTGCCTGCCTGCTGCCTGCCTGCCTGCCTGCCTGCCTGCCTGCCTGCCTGCCTGCCTGCCTGCCTGCCTGCCTGCCTGCCTGCCTGCCTGCATGCCTGCATGCCTCCCTGCCTGCCATTAATCTTAACGGTATGGATACCCTAAGCAAGAGCAAATTAAAGACAATATTCTTGTACAGGACAAAAAGCTGCACTCATCAGTCCAAGAAATAATCTGCAGATATGAACACTAATGCCAAAATTAAAGGAAAAAACAAGTCTACTCGGTGCTCCCAAGCTCTAGCTCTATCTTGCTGTGCACATCGAGGTGAAGACAATGATTCCCCTCGGGCAGTCACAGCAAATTTGACTGTAGAATAGTTTGTGACATGAAGTTTGTCTCTGGTGCGTACATCCCTAATGTAAAGATTTAACCTTCTCCTTGACTAATCTTTGCGATGTGGTCACACTAAACGTGGGCAAATTGAAGCTAATGTAGCGGATTAAAAGTTGCAATTGTTGGTACAAGAAATAATATGCATACTTTAATGGTACAAATAAAAGGAAAGGAATACTCATAGCCTAAGTCCACTTGGTGCTCCCGAGTTTCAGCTCTATCTTGCTGAACATACCAACATGAAGGCAATGTTTCCTGGGGGTCATTGGAGGAACAGAGTCCTGCTCAACTCTCCCCTTGGGCAGTCACCCTGTCACGGCAACTTAGATTATTGAATAGATTTTGTGACATGGAGTTGGGTATTTCGTCTTTGTTGAGTGCATCCATACTGTACAGATTTACCTTTTCCTCACATTCACTCGTGCAAATTTTACAAATTCTTATTGCATAAATCATTGTCAAATTGAAAATTCCCACCAGCACGTACCATCAGTTACAAGATCAGAGATCCTGTCATGGTAATATCACATCCATAATCATACCATTGAATGATTTAAAACAATCAAATGTTGAATAATAAGAGAAAGTCCATATGTTACAAAGCCAAACGTTAAAGGTTGAATTCAACATGATATTTTCACACAGTGACATATCTTTCTGACATGTAGACTATGTAAATGAATACCTGAGAGTAATTAGAATAATGATAACATATACAGATTAATGTTAATTGATGGGTCTAAGTGAATATATTTATCTTGATGAATAACATAGCTGTTTTTGTAATTGGTAGAAGACAAAAAAGAAAAAAACCTAAGAGACTATGTTGTCTAAAGACACCTGCAAAATAAATAATTAGAACAAAACCCCCTTTATCCCTCAATATTCCTAAACAACATACCTTTTCAAAAATGTTGAAAATAGCAACACCCAACACATCCTTTCCCAGCACTGACCTTAGCCATGTTCTTCCTGCAGATGGGGCACTCGTTCCTGCCACACAGGACCCTCATCCTGGTGGAACACTCGAAACACACAGGGTGATCGCATTCTCCTATGCTATAGGTTTCCACGGGACGAAAACACACCACGCACACTTCCTCCTCCTCTGTTGCGCTCTCCACCCTGGACACTCGGCCTTTAGATGACATCTTGCTTGATCTCTTGTGCTCTACGGTGGGAAGAAACGGGCGGGGAATTTCTCACGTATTCCGATAATAAAAGAGCAATGTTGGGGGTGGCTCCGGAAAAAGGCGTGTGCGGTGTTTATGCCGTCTCGTTTCACACTGACTTGTTTTTTTTTTCTTCTGGGAGATCTATAGATGATTGGGGATTGTTGGCACTCGCGAGGGAGTTCTGGCGTTTATACTCTGCTTGATTCTCCTCTGAAGAAAATCATATTCCCTTTTTCAGAGGAATAAGAGGGTTGATTATATTCTTAAAGTTACGCATGTTTTTCATCGATTCAATGTTTATTCTTTTACTGGGATTTGTTTCATATTTTCAAAGATTTTCAATAATTCAAGGACCGGGATGTAATACCGGTTGTAGCGGGATACAAAAGACACTCGATCCTATATGATACCATTGCTTGATTCCCTTTAGCGAATGATTGAATTGTATTGACTTTCGTTGTCAATGACGATGGTCTTCAAACCTTTCGGTTGTATAACTATCTATCATTCTTTAAGATTGTCCATTGGTAGACACTTGAAGACGATAACAGTTTAGATATCTTTAATCAGGAGTGAATTAGGGAAAATAGAATGCACGAACAAGTTTCTCCACTTATAGCAACATTGTGCAACACAAGTGAAAGTTAACATACAATGCACAGTAATGACAGTGTTCTCTCGTTGTTATGTTTAAAAAAATATAGATTTTCTTTTATCAAATACGTTGTGTCATAATAAACACTAGGGGAAATCTTTCTCTCTTCTCTCTCTCTCTCTCTCTCTCTCTCTTCTCTCTCTCTCTCTCTCTCTCTCTCTCTCTCTCTCCTCTCTTCTCGCTCTCTCTCTCTCTCTCGCTCTCTCTCTCTCTCTCTCCTCTCTCTCTCTCTCTCTCTCTCTCTCTCTCTCTCTCTCTCTCTCTCTCTCTCTCTCTCTCTCTCTCTCTCTCTCTCTCTCTCTCTCTCTCTCTCTCTCTCTCTCTCTCTTCTCTCTCTCGCTCTCTCGCTCTCTCGCTCTCTCTCTCTCTCCTCTCTCTTCTCTCGCTCTCTCTCTCCTCTTCTGGCTCTCTCCCTTGTGTGTGTGTGTGTGTGTGTGTGTGTGTGTGTGTGTGTGTGTGTGTGTGTGTGTGTGTTGTGCGCGCGTGTGTCAGTATATACGCACACACAAACCTACGCACGCACGCACGCACGCACACACACACACACACACACACACACACACACACACACACACACACACACACACACACACACACACACACACAACACACACACACACATATATATATATGTATGTATGTATGTATGTATGTAATGTATCATGTATTGTATATGTGTGTGTACACACATACGCATATACACACAACACATATGTATTTACATATATGTACATATGTTTGTGTGCGCGCGCGTGTGTGTACGTGTGTGTGTGTGTGTGTGTGTGTGTGTGTGTGTGTGTGTGTGTGTGTGTGTGTGTGTGTGTGTGTGTGTGTGTGTGTGTGTGTGTGTGTGTGTGTGGTGTGTGTTGTGTGTGTGTGTGTGTGTGTGTGTGTGTGTGTGTGTGTGTGTGTGTGTGTGTGTGTGTGTGTGTGTGTGTGTGTGTGTGTGTGTGTGTGTGTGTGTACAGCACCTGCCACAGTGGTATGCTATACCATTCTCCATCTAATAAACATCACAGAAAGTTTTACAGAGCATGGATGTCGTGTACACTGTCGGATGGTAGCCTATACTATTTTTTATATATAATTTCCCCGAGATCCTATTCACAATTTGTCTCTATAACAAGATGCGTAAAAGCTTATCACATAACCAGCTCAAAAAGGAAAAAAATTGTTGTCAAAGTTCGTCGTCATTGAAGATTTCTTGTCTCATTTTGGGCTAGTATCCCATGGCGATAATGAAGCGTTGGATCCTCTTAGTGGAAAATATAGAGATTTTTATCTGAATGGAGAGGGAAGTTCGATCCCTTTCTTGCAGAGCATATTTCTCGATTTGAAAAGTATGGACGAGGGGCAGCAAGTTGTCTTTCCTTAGCACTTTGCGATGAAATTGCTGTCAACCACATCCGATAGTCCAATAAAAATATAAAGATATAAATAAATAGATGAATACTCTGTATCGAATCAACTTCTGCTATCAGTCACATAGTTCAGCTGACTGTCAATTTGGGATAAGTCAATTAAAAGTTCCCCATTGTAAGCCATGTAAGTTGAGGTCTTCAAGAAGATGCATTGAAAATCTCTTGTCGAACTAACATCTCGAATGCCTTTTAAAAACTAGTCGCTAGAATACTTCATTGGGTTACTGAGCTACAGTGCTTATCCTTCCTAAAGTAAATGGTAGTTTATCACCTTTCTCGTCTAGGTAATTAATGTTTTGATGACCACTTTCAACGAGCCAAAAGGGCCACTGATTTTTATTTTTTATTTTTTTCCTCCAGATTTTTAACGCCTGTTCAAGGAAACCGTTAGATGGGAAGAAAGAATAGGTTAAATAGCTTTGCTGTTTTTACACCGACCTTTCACATAAGGAAACGTTACATATTTTGGAAATGTAGACTCACAGTGTGGTGAATATGTTTAAGATTCCCACGAATAAGAAATTTAAATGCTTGATTATTTAGACCACCCCCTTTTGGGCTCTTCCACTCTTCCAAAAATGGCTATGCTCCACCCCCTTTCTCATATTTTTGGAGATTTTCATGGGTCGCTAAAATACCGTTAACATTTTTCCCTTGCTGGTGTTGTCCCATTAAGGTCGTTGAAGAAGGGTGAAGATGGTTGTGTTGCTTTCTCAGAATGTATAGTGATATTCACACACACATACACATACACGCACGAACGCACTCAACACACACACATACAACACTCACACACACACACACACACACACACACACACACACACACACACACACACACACACACACACACACACACACACACACACACAACACACACTTACACTTACACTAACACTAACACACACCTGCAAACAGACACACACACACACAACGGAATAGAATTATTGTGAGCGCTGCTGTGACTTCTGGAGAAGGACCACTGGAGATACATGGCTGAGAGGCATTTCATCATGGCTTCGCTACGACGACTTTCACGACAACATTCAGGTTATTTTAGAGGGGAAAACTTTATTTGATTTTATTAAAATTATATTAATTATATTAAAAGGTTATTTTAGAGGGGAAAGCTATATATAAGACCGCTCCAAACTTCCTTTTCTGGAAACCTTGACCCAACAAGTCTACGATGGCGTGCGTGTCTGTAGGCCTACATCAGAAACAAAAACTTCAAACAATAATGCTTTCAAATCCCCTTTACTCCACAAACGACGATAAAACAAAATCGGGAGTTGTAAAGGATTTGTCGTCCTGAATTCCTTGAGGAGGGGGGTTGAGTTTGCTCTTAAATCCCTCTCTGAGCACCGAGTTGGACAAGCACAAGGCAAGTGCCAGTTATGCGTATAACAAGCGACGGATCACAGACCTCAGATGTGTCCCCAGTTCTTGAATAATGCATATAACCTGCTTACTAATGTCGCTGGATGACGTGATCTTGATGGAGGTTTAACCGAAATGCGTGAATTCCTGATCTTGCACTGTGCGTCTTCCTCGTTCACATATTTTTTTTCCCAATTTTTCTGCAACTTCGGTGTTTTAAGAGTAAGTGATTGGGAGATGCTGCTGTCTTGTCTGAAATGGAATCTATTATTTATAAGCATATCCATGCATATTTAAATATAACATACGCACACACATATGCATATGTGTGTGTGTATATATGTATCTATGTACGCTCACACACACACACACACATGTATATATATATATATATATATATATATATATATATATATATATATATATATATATATATATATATATATATATATATATATATATATATATATATATATATATATATATATATATATATATAGAGAGAGAGAGAGAGAGAGAGAGAGAGAGAGAGAGAGAGAGAGAGAGAGAGAGAGAATGTGCTGGATATAAATATGAATGTATATATATATATATATATATATATATATATATATATATATATATATATATGTTTATGTATATATATACATATATATATACATATATATATATATGTATATATATATATACATATATACATGTATATACGTATATAAATATACCTACATACGTACATACATACATGACTCAAACTTGCGTCATTGCAGGTAGGAAACTGTGTGTGTGCCTGAATATTATATGTATATATATGTATATATATACATTTATATATATATATATCAATACATATATGCATATATATATATATTATATATATATATATATATATATATATATATATATATATATATATTGTATATGTATATATATAAACATATACCTAAATGCACACACAAATGTATATATATATATATATATATATATATATATATATATATATATATATATATATATGTATGTATGTATGTATGTATATACATATATGATATATATATTATACATATACGCATATGTAAATGTGTATACATTTCTTCGTTTATGTATACAATGCCAGGGGTGTCATTTTGGCTTCAGGGACTCAAACGTTTTGCTCGGCGAAAATTTCTGAAAATCCTTACTAATATACTTGATCGGCAACTTGCAATAATTATGCCATACAAGTGATTTTAAATCTGTCGACTCTGAGTGACGTGTGAGTGACGTGTGGCGATCACGTGGTGCAAAGTCGTTTGGTAATAAAAGTCTACCAAAGATCCTTGCACCACCTGGCACACACACAGCCATCTCTCGAAATGTTTGGTGTGTCGCAATTTTTACATTCCTTTCCGCCAATATTAATAAGGCCGGAAGTTACCTGGTAAAAATCGCCGAGAACGCACGTCACGATAAACAGCTCAAACTTCCCTAAATTTTCATTTCGTCTCGATTAAAAACTCTTCCAAAGTAAAAGAAAAAAAAAAAAAACGGTTATCAAGCAAAATCGATTCTTCCATCAATGTTCTTTCGGGTAATTCAAGTTCTAGGCATGGGTTTGTTCGGGTAAGTGGATAAATAGGAAAATGATGTCATTTGTCGGCCACAGGCAGCGTGTTCCCCGGTGACTCATGATGCCCTAAAC